CTCCGCAGCTTGGGAGTGCTCAGTGCTTCGTTGGAGAAAAACTTCATCTCAGGACATTGTTCGACAGTTACTTCTACCAGAGATGGGAAATCAAAGCTGTGCTTTTCTGAGCAAAAGCTAGTTAGGCTTGGTAAACGATGAAGCTCTAATATTTCTAATTTGCTGAAGACAATCTCATCTTTTATTCCCTCTTCCTCATTTGCTACTATTTCGGTAACCATACTGCAGCCCACTACTTTCATTCTTGTGAGTTGCGCCAGACTTTTTGCTGCTGTGGATGTCACTAATTTTACTAATCTTTTGCAATTCCACACATCCAAATTTGTTAGATTTTGGAAAGAAGCACGGGATGGAGCTAAATAAATCAAACTGCCGCAATTCTGTACTACAAGAGTTTCAAGAGTCTGCAGAGCTTGGTCCAGTTGGGAATTGCTCTTCCATAAATGCTCTAGGCAAGGAAGAGAGTCCAACTCGAAGTGTCGTATCGATGAAAGAACTATTGCATGCTTCTCCATACCATCAAGTCTAGACGGGAGAAACTCTTTGAAGTCACTACATCCCACAATAAGTTTTTCCAATTTAGGGAACCTTGGAAGGAGATCAATTGGAAAAGTTGCATGTGCATCATGAAAGCAAAACAGATTGAGAACTTTGAGTTTGTCATAGAAGTCTTGAGGACACAGGCTTCTCAATAATGCCGATGCATCCTTGCTTTCCAAATATAAATCCTCCAAGTTGGGGAAGATCTGAAAACCAATCAAAAGAAAGCATGCTTGACTTGACGTTTTCTTAACAACTTTATAGCTGTGCATAGAAAGATCAACTGAACACTTGACTAAATGAATTGTGCCACGTGAGCTCTAGCTTCAGTTTTGTAATGTTATGAATGCAAAAGCTTTGTCAATCTTTCAATAAGAATTCTCTTTCTGCAGAGGGGCAGTGGCTTTTAGATTGAACACACCATACAACATATGCATCCAATTCATCATGCTTCATTCATTCACCAAAAATTGGATGTCAACCAAATTCACCTTGCTTGAATGGAAACATAATTAATCATATTATCCAAACCCAACTCAAGTTAACCTAAATATACAAGAAAAAAAAGTTGCTAGAGAATTATTTTTCTCTCTTCTAACTCTTGTAGTTATCATGATCATCCCTTCATCAAATCAAGAATTTCAGTTTTTGATATTGAGTTTTTGAATTTAAAAAAGGTAGAGGTAATAAATAAGTGGTTTCCTTTCATGTTATTTTTTATCATAGTTTGTTTATGAAAGAATTAAAAAAGAGATTAAAATTTATAAAAATTTAAAGTTTATATGGATAAGATTAATTCGTGATTATTATGGGTTTAAAGTTAAATGGTTAATTTTAAATGTGTTGTTAGAAATAAAGATTTGTTAATTGATTGATTTATTATGGTTTAAGAAATTCATTTAAACTTTGCTGAAAAATCTTATCAGAATGGTTGAGATTGAAAATAATGAAATTTTATTTAGTTCATTGATTAATAAAAATTACAGTTTAGTTTCTAAACTTTAGAAAATAATAATTTGACCTCTTAAATGTATTTTGAAAATCTGGACAGTACTATTCTTAAGAGGTTAAGGATGATGAACCTTTGTTTGATAATTCACTTGTGTAATTTTTAGTTTAGTCTTTCTATTTTGAAGATTTGCAATTTAGTCCCTAAACTTTGGAAAAATTATAGTTTGGTTCCTAGAATGTAAATTGAGATTCTGGAAAGAATTTAGTGTGGGTTATGGGTGAAATTTCAGTATGGTTATATATTTTTTACAATTACAGTTTGGTCATCCAATTCTAGTAAAATTACATTTTGATCCCTGTCTTTGGAAAAATTATCATTTTAGTCTCTAAACTTAAGAGACTAAACCTGATTTCTTTTATGCATTGGAATCTTTTATTTGGGTTGTTTTCTAGTATATTTCATATATTTGTTATAAGTACTTATAATGATCTTCAATAGAATTTTTAAATCTTTCATCTCGTATTCTTTTTAGTTCAGTATTTTATAGGTGAGTGGGATAATTTTTAATATACATATAATATAAATAAATATGTATGTTTATTACATGAGGATTATGACTAGTTAATTATTTTAAAATTTATGTATATTATTTTATTTTCCAAGTACTCATCTATTATTGAATCTGCACTGATATTCTGTTGAATTAAATTCTATTAATATAATATACATTGCTTTGAGAATTATATGAATATTTAGTATGTCTTGATAAAGGACTTATCAGCAATTTCATGCTAACGAAGAGTAGTCATTGTTATCAGACCTGACCAAGAAGTCGAGTCCCAGGTTACATGAGTGGTCTTGGATCAACCTAAATCAACACGGAAAAATAAAAAAATATATTTGAAGTTTTAATATTTCATATAAAAAAATTAAAAAACAATTCATGTGAATATAAGCTACACATATTATAAATAATAAAGTTTAAAAGATTATTTTAAAAGGTTTTTTATCTCACAAGATTATTTCAAAAGGTTTTTTATCTCACATTGAAAATACACTATGTTAGTATATTATCCTTTTAAGTTGAAGTATTTAAATCAAAAAACTTTTTTTATTCCATATTAAAAAAACATAACGCTTTTCTTATGAACATAGAGTATATATATTAAAGGACTTCAAATCCCACATTAAAAAAATAAAACATTCTTTTAGTATTTATAAAGTGAACTTTGAAAAGATTTAATTAAAATCAACTAAAAAAATACAAAACAAGAGGGGTTTCTAGCTAGAAAGAAAAACGTTTGAAAAAAAAAAGGTCTTAACTGGGTTTTGTCGGGTTACCTAGGTTACTAGTCCACCCAACGAGTCAACCATGTTTTGCCTATCCTAATCTTTTGCCTTACCCAAACCGGTCCAGTCACAGGTCAACCAGGTCCCAAGTTATATAACTATAAGAGTAGTTAATATATGTGCATAATATTCTATATACCTAATTAGTTATGAGAGAGGCATCAACCTATAACGACTGATCCTTCTATAATGATCACTTTCACGTATTCCACTAATTTATGATAATATGCTTATTGTGTGTGTGTGTGTGTGTGTGTGTGTGTGTGTGACTATAAATCATCTTGCAAAACTATTAATATCTAAGATTTATATTAAATATTATTCATTCACTAAATTGATTGAACTTATTTTTTATTTTTAATATTATTTCAAGTTTTTATTTTCTATTAACAAGTGAACTTTATTAAGTGTTCTTGAATCTTTAATTTTGGTCAGTATTCCTTATTTATTTCGTAAAGCTTTCCTTTTAGTTTTTACTTGATATTTTAGATGCTTTACCGTTATTTTATTTTAATTAAGTTTGGATTTTGATAATATAATGAGTATTATGGATTATTATTTGTATTTAATTATTGATAAAAAGTTTCAAACTATTATTTGGTTTTATTAGTTTTAAATAATATAATATTTTCAAAAAAATATGAAATATTGGATATTTTTTAATAACTTATTTTTTTAATATATTCTTTTTGAGATTTGATATAGATAGAATATCCTTACAACACCACTCATACATTACTGGTCATGAATTCAGGATGGAGTCGTGATAATAACGGCCTCATGAAAGTTTATGTGAAAATTAGAAAGACGTGGAATAGCGGTGAGGATCATACCTTCCTAAATGAGAGAAGTGGTTGCTGACCCTGGATGTCCAAGTGGTCCTCCCTACATGGTTCGTGAGAGCACTTTAGCCCAACATGCAGTATCTTCAGTTTGCAAAAGGAATCAGAATGGAGTTCATTGTGCCATATCACCTTCAAATTATCCATTTCGAAAATTAGAAATACCTCCAAGTCAGGGAAAGCAACCTGCAGTAACAATTCCATTCTGTTAATAGATTGCCAACGCCCATAACAAAATATCACCTATGGGGTAAAACATAGAAAGAAAATACACGAGTGAGGCAAGCTCACAAATTAAGCCTGCTTTTGAAATAAAATCACCTTGTCATCGAAGAGAGCTGATTTTGTGTTGTCAGGTTTGCTCATGGCAGGGACATCTGCACTTAATGGGATGGAAATAAATTCCTTCAGTTCAGGACATTTCCCTAACGTCAGCACTTTCAGGGAGTGGCATTCAAGCAAGTTACTGGTGCAGAATCTTCTGAGTTTTGGCAGATCAGTGAGCTCTAGGATGAGTAGTTCAGGGAATAGTATTTTGCCTTCTCCGCTTCCTTCTGGAACAACTATTTCTTCCATGGACTTGCAATTACATATTTCAAGCCTTACGAGTTGAGCAAGACTTCCGACCATAGAAGATGTCAATAAATAGTTTAAATTACTACAATTCTCCACAACAATGCTTGCTAAGTTTTTAACACAGGGAGGCTGCACAGCAGGTTGGTCGTGCCATATCTTTTCCACTTTGATGGAGGAGAGCTTCAGGTCCTCCAAATTGGGAAATAAAATCTGCATACACATATTTTGTTTTATGAAGTTCTTTTTATTTTTCAGCGAGATAAAAATAAATAAATCAAAGCCCTTAATTTGTCTACTCATGATAATGGGTTTTTATTTTTTGAGGTTAAAAGGACAAATAATAGCTTGTTAAAAGATCAAACCAGACCTTTGTATTGAAAAGTGACATGGAAGTCCCAAGCTCATTCCCCGCAACAATTTCTTTTGACCTCCCATCACTTGCTAATAGCTCCTGCCTTGTATTAGAGTGAAAGCTTGTGAACTGAGGCAGACATCGCAGTGTCAGTCTACGTAATTGAGTGAACTTTATTGGTTCACCGTCAGCAGCATCATTCTCACTTTCCTCAACAACCTCTTCCATGATCTTGCAATCAATTATTGTGATTTCTTCAAGGCGCACAAGTCTTCTTGCCATGGAGACTGAAAATAAATTCTTCAACCTATGACAACTTTCTACCTTCAAAATTCTCAAGTTTCCAAGCGACTCTGCCATAAGTTGGCCATGGCAGATCTTCTCCAAGTTATCCAAATTTTCAAGAAACAGTGAGTCCAAGTTCAGAAAAGCAGTACGAGGACCCATCCTGATCGAGTTGATGATATATTGAATTCCAGGACAATTTTGGACGTAAAGATGCTTCAGCTGAGGGAAACCTTCCCCGTCCAAGTCATATAGGATACTCTTAACCCCCTTCAGTTCTTGCAAATGAAGTTCTTCAGTTCTCTTCAGCAGCGTGTTCACCCCCTCCTCCAGCTGAATAACAGTATTGAGCTTGAGTTTCAAAGTTCTTGAGGTTGCATCCTTAACAGACCAGTCCCACCCATCTCCAATAAATATTCTGAACCTTTCCAAGTTTTGAAAGCTCGAAAACAAGTCCTTGGGCATATTATCTGCATCTGTAATTTGCATGTCTAAGGTACTTAAGTTTGACAGAAGCTTCAATTCTGACAGGCAAGCATTGTTTCTTTGACTGCTTGGTCCTTCAGCCTCCCATTTCAGGAAGCTGTTTCCCATAAATAATTCTTCTAGCCGGGTCAAGGAAGAAAGGACATTTGGTGATATTACTTCAAGCCTTTCACAATTGCTCAAATCAAGAAGTACCAGACGAGTCAATTTTCCTATTTCTCTCGGCAAACAAACAATATTAGAACGGATTAAGCTGAGAACTTTCAACTTCTTTAGCTCTCCAACTATAGATACATCTTCCAAAGCAGCACAACTATCCAAACACAGCGTTTGAAGGTTCTCAAGAAATTGAAGTGACGAAGGCAGTGGTGAAAGATTAACTCCTGTCAGATCCAAGGTTTTGAGCTCCTTCATTTCTCTGAAAAAGCTGTCTGGTATTTGCAGTGAGGGATCCTTATTCAGCAGTAGAAACGAATTGAGATTTGGACATTCTAATATTGGAGGAAGATCAGGAATTTTCCGGAAAGGCAAAGAGATTGCAGTGTACTGTTGAAGCACATCATTGGCTGGCCATTCTTTGAGTTCATCTGCCACAACAAGCACATGGTGGTCCCTTGATGCAACAGAGATGGCAAAACTATGAACAACATCATGCATTTTCACGCTTCCATCCTTGTCACCTTCTAGCAACAAACAAGAGGCTTTAAGCTCATCCACCAATGTATGCAGACTGTTTCTTGTTTCTTCCAATGTGGAACATCCCCTAAACAAATCCAAGCCTATAGCATACCTTAACAAGTCTGAGATTAAAATATTATTAGATCGTAATTGCCCACAAAGCAAGAACAATGACTTGATTTCATCACCTCTCAAAGTTTTGTAACTCAGTTCTAGACCCAAGTAAACCTTATCATCGATATCATCTTTATGAAACCTTGTTAGCTGTTTCAAGGCGTTCTTCCAAGCATATAAATCTTTGTTTTTCAGTGCCCTAGCAACTGTAGCAAGTAAAATCGGCAAACCTGCACATCTTCTGGCTACCTCAGCAGCAACAAGTCGTACACTAGGATTTTTAACAACACCACCCACCATCTTTTCGAACAAATTCCACGCTTCACTTGCAGGCAAAACTTGAATCGGGAAATTTTTGTTCGCACCCATCTCGCGTGACAATACATATTCATTTCTTGAAGACACGAGTATCTTGCATCCTTCATGAACGCTCCCTGAAGGAATTCCAACATCCTCCAATTTAAGTTCTTTCCAAATATCATCAAGAATTACAAGTACTCTAGTCACTCTCTTCAATCTCTCGTATAGTTGACTTGCCCTTCCTTTATCAGTCTCTGCATCCAATTTGAGTCCCAGCCCATCTGCTATTTCACCTTGAATTCTTCTGATGTCTGGAGTATGTGACACAACTGCCAGAACCTCTTTATCGAACAGCCTACGCTCCTTGACTTGTTCAGCTACCTTCTTCACAAGTGTGGTCTTCCCCACACCAGGCATCCCATATACCCCAACCATGTACACGCCACCATCCTTCAATGCATCCACAATAGCATTTAATACAGAATTTCTTGATTCAAAGGCCTCATAATCCTTGACAGGCCCTATACCCGATGGAGCAGCACGGTAAGAAACTCTATCAAATCTCCCTTTTTCCTGGAGATCAACAACAACCGTCAACTCCTTCTTCGCTGCTTTACCCAACCGATAACGTATCTTTAGATCAGGAAACAAACCCATGAAGCACCTCTTACTTGATTCATCTGCAACAACAACACCTCCCCCTTGAATGACCCCATCAACATCTCCCAGCCAGTTCAAAACTTCAACTTCAATCTCTTCCCCGTTCCTTCTAGCCTCCTCTATAGAATGAATCACCCTTGTTTTTGCATCTGTCAGCTTCTCAACTTCATTATGTAAGTTCTGAATATTGGTATTACAATCAACTACATAACCAATCTGTCTCTTAATGGGAACAACTAACAGCTCAGCAACTTTTGCTACAATAGAAATCACAATTTCCATGTCCAATGAAACTTAACTCTTCTTCTTGTCTGGAATCAAGCAATCAAGGAACTGCAATGAAAAAATTAAATCAAAATGAAACTTTTCAAATCTTCAGGAACTAAATCAGAAATGAACAGCAAAAGGATTTCTTTGTTGCAATTCAACTAACATTAATAAAGCAAAAACAACACAAATAATAAACAAGCAGCAAAGCAGAGGCTTTTCAAAAGTATAAAGTAACAAAGAAAGAAAGAAAGCAATCAAGATGAATAGCAAATTAACATCAAGGGGTCTCTGGAATCAAGTGATAAAAATAGAAAAAAAGAAAAGTCCTTAAGCAACCATACCTCTTGGTTTCAGCTAATCAACAGAGCAGTGACTTCAGACCAGTGAGCAGAGGTGCAAATGTTACTGCAGATTATAAACAGCTGAGGTTTATCAGCAGTGAGAAAGCAAGGGAATGGATGAGAGCAACAGTGGATGGCTTAATGATTATTCTCTGTATAGTTGAAAGGGCGCATCTTTCCTTCATAAAAAGAGTGGGAAAAAAAGAAAAAGAACAACTTGACTTACTATAGAATCCAGGGGCCCACTTTGGAGAACTAACCGATAGAACCCTGCCGAATCAGCAAGTGCACAACATCCATAAACAGTGAGGAACAACTTGGCTGGCTGCATTGCTACAGAAACTAGGGGCACACTTTGGAGAACTAACGAATTGAACTCTGCCAAGTCCTTGATTATGGAGAAAAATGAAATCTTTGATAGTTTTTGAAAAATCTGTATTGTATAATAAAAAAATTATTAATTAAATATAAAAAAATATCCCAACTAATTAAATTGAAAATATTGATATAAAAAAATAAGAAAGCAACAAGAAAAATTGAATAAAAAAAACTGAAATAGTACTTAATTTAAATCTAAAAATGAAAAAAGCTAGCAAGCTAATTAGTTTTTAATAATAAAGCTCTTTCAATCTAGTAATCAGATAAAAAAAGTAGCATTGGTGGATTAAATTAAGTAGAGAGAGGCATGGATTGTGTAACAATTTGAATTAAAGAGATAGGAAAAGGCTATAAAGTCTTTGAGGAATTAGATATAGGAATAAATAAATGAAGGGTATTGTGGTAATTGAATAATAATTAATAAATAAAAATAAAAAAGAGAAAGTTGTGTTTTTCTTAAAGCAAACCATGAGAAAAAAGGGAGGAAGAAAAAGAAAAAGGAGGGAAAGATAAGGGAAATAGAAGAAAATTGAAGAAAATAAGTTTAAATGTAAGATTTTAATTGTTAAATGTATAGATATATGTTAATTAAACTTTAAATTTCTAATTTGATTGAATGTTAGGATTTTGAAAATTGTGTTTTGGGTTTGTTGATGAATTAATTTGAATGTTATAGGGTTGATTGTTGTGAGTAATGGATTGGTAGTTGGTTTTGGGGGATTGTAGGGAAATATGATAATTTTGAGTTATGATTTTGTTTGAATGGTGAATTTGTATTAGAAATCATGAGATAACAGGAATCTCTAGAAATTTTGGGTTTAAGGTCAAAGATGATAAAATTTCAGTTTAATCCCTTAATTTGTGAAAATTACAGTTTAGTTCTCAAACTTCAAAAAATTTACAAATTGGTCCCCATGACATATTCCGAGATTCTAAACAGAATAAATTATGAATTATGAGCAGAATTCCAGTATAGTTATGAATTTTTAACACTTTCAATTTAGTTCTCTAATTTGACTCTAAAAATTTGGAAAAATTCCAGAATGGTCCCTGAAGCATAATGAGATATTCTGGACAGAATTGAGGATTAAATATTGTCAGAACTCCAGTATAGTTATGGATTTATGATATTTTTAATTTAACCCTCTAATTTGACAAAAATTACAATTTGACCCTAAAAAATTAGAGAAAATTCCAGAATGGTCCCTGGAGTATAATGAGATATTCTGGACAGAATTGAGGATTATATATGGTCATAATTTCAGTATAGTCATGGATTTATGATTTTTTTAGTTTGGTCATTCAATTTGACAAAAGTTATAATTTGACCCTTAAAAATATGATAAATTCTAGATTAGTCCTCAGCTGTAATATTAGCTTTTACAGATTGATTTGATGAATAATCAACGGTTATTTAGTGAATTATTATTAATTTTATTATTTTTTTATTATGGATTGGATTTCAAAAAAATTAGTTAATATTGGGTTTTTAGAAAAATAACTAGTTTAGTCTAAAAATATATAGGGTTATAAAATAGACACTTAGTTAGGTGTATTAAATAGGTTATATATTATTTTGAGTCATTCTTGAATATGTTTTTTTTATATTCAGATAATCTTAATATTCTACCAGCGGGTTGTCAGTAGGATTTTTTTCGGTATTAACTTTAAGTTCTGTTTGTTTTCGAGTCAGGTAAGTGAATAATTTTTTATATGCATGAAAAATATTATAAGTATTTGATTCGTTAATATGAATTGGATCATGCTTCTTGATAATATATATATATATATGTTGATTATTATCCTTGTTATGATAAAGGATGATCAATTATTGAATCTAAATTCTTGATATGAATCAATATATATTTTGAATTGACTTCTAAATTAATAGCTCCTCATTTGATTGATGTCATGAGGTGAGCCTTGTGATATTAATATGTTTGTTTAATTATGATTATGAACATATGGTATGTCAGTCAGAATACTCATACTAACAGGATAGTATTATTTTTTGTGCACATTGTATCTGAATCTTAGCTGGTTGGGGGAGTCACCAACCTGTGTGAACTGATCATCCCACAGTACGGAGCCTCATGCTCATTGTATTTTGATTTTCTGACAAGTTTTACCTTGTGATACTCTTGTTATAACCTATTTGATGAACCTTTCTATAAGAAGCTAAAGTCAATTGTATATATATTTCTCATTATTGTATTATATCGTATGTGTATATTGAATATTATCTACTCACTAAGTTATTGAACTCACCCTCTCATTATTTATCTTTTTCAGACTTATAACTGAATAGCAGGTCATTTTTGTTAGACCTTCAGAATCTGTTTTTTTATTATAATTTGTACTCTTTTTTAATATTTAATTAGTGTTCAAAAACTATGAAATTATATTAACTCTTGTATTAAGACAATTAAATTATATTATGAAGTTAGCTTATTGTTAATGTTGTGTTGAACTCTAATTGAGTTGTTTAAAAGATAAGATTGTATATAAATTTAGATTCGTATAAATATAGAATTTTAAAGAGAAATCTTGTTTATATACCGGTGATGAATCCAGAAATCGAGTCCTGATATACTAATTAACAGACAAAGATCTAAATAATACTGTTGTGGAACTTCAGAGGTTGATTAGCTAACATTAATAAAGTAAAAACAACACAAATAATAAACAAGCAGCAAAGCAGAGGCTTTTCAAAAGCATAAATAACAAAGAAAGAAACAAAGCAACCAAGCATAAATAATAAACAGCTTTTCAAAAACATAAAGTAACAAAGAAAGAAAGAAAGATAGAAAGGAATCAAGATGAACAGCAAATTAACATCAAGGGGTCTCTGAAATCAAGTGATAAAAGAAGAAGAAAGGAAGCAAGCATACCTCTTGGTTTCAGCTAATCAACAGAGCAGTGACTTCAGACCCGTGAGCAGGGGTGCAAATGTTACTGTAGATTATTAACAGCTGAGGTTTATCAGCAGTGAGAAAGCAAGGGAATGGATGAGAGCAACAGTGGATGGCTTAATGATTATTCTCTGTATAGTTGAAAGGGCGCATCTTTCCTTCATAAAAAGAGTGGGAAAAAAAGAAAAAGAACAACTTGACTTACTACAGAATCTAGGGGCCCACTTTGGAGAACTAACGGATTGAACTCTGCCGAATCAGCAAGTGCACAACATCCATAAACAGCTAGCAAGCTAATTAAATTGAAAATATTTATCTAAAAAAATAAGACAGCAACAAGAAAAATTGAAAAAAAAAATCTGGAATAGTACTTAATTTAAATCTAAAAATGAAAATAGCTAGCAAGCTAATTATTTTTTAATAATAAAGCTCTTTCGATCTAGTAACCAGTCTTTTTTATTACACTGAATGTGAAATTTTTCAAAATTTAGAAAATCTAAATAAAAATAACTGTAGAAAGTGTCGCACTTCAAATAGTATTTGTAAGACCAAAATGATTGCAGCAGGGACAGGTGGGTCTCTTTTTGAATCATATGTAATTGTTGTCTAAAATTTTGTCCAATGAGATCTTGTAATGGAAATGGATTATAGCAGAGAAAACCTTCCCTAGCTCTGTAACTCAACTGGTAAAACAAAAACAAGGAAAGGGTGTTTTCCTATGTGTGTTCCGAATCAAATACCTCCAATTTGTCACAACTTTTAAAACATAATTTCTTTCAATTGTGTCGGTGTCTTCCAGAAGTATACAGAGTTCTGGTAATGCCCAAAGTAGAAGGCATGAATAGTGATTTATCTAAACTCTAAATCCCTTCATGGATGTCCTCACTTCTCTGTACAGAGTTCATGTTCTCACAGGGAAACAAACTGAAGTCCTCAGCTTCCCCAATTCACTTGGCAGTTGGAATTTCTTTCAACTCTCCAATTATAGCAGTGTCTTCCAGAACACCATATTGTTTTAGCTGAATACTCCATTCAAGCAACAAAAAAAAAAAAACAATAGAAATGCAAATTGAACCCTGTACCCCTCGCATGCAAAGCGAGCGCTCTACCATTTGAACCCTGTACCTCTCGCATGCATCCCCTTTCAATTTCGATTAATCAGTTACTATTACACATTGGTTTCTACTCATTCCTGGATCTGATCTAGGAATAACAGTTGAGGTCCATCCACCCCAACTTTAATGTAAGCTTCCCAATTTTTATACCAATCTGCATTTACAATTTTCAATCCTTTATATCTATTTTCATTAGAGGTTCAGGTGATATTTTTCATGATTAATTTACATTACGTTAAGTATACAGGCTATGAGAAAAACAGAATATTTTACATTTACCGAACAAGTTTAGTTTTTGAAACTAAGATGACTGATTAGTTAGTTCTACTAAACTGGATTGACTAAATATAATTAACCCTTTATAAATTAGAGTATGGCATGCCTTCACCTTCGTGCTCGAATAAGTCAATTATTTTTACTCATTTCCACATTTATCTTCATAAAAGCAAGGTCCCTCCATATCTATTTTCATTCAGATAAACGAAGGCGAACCTGCATAAAAACGAATACAGTTATCATCCTAAATCAAACCCTTGTATTTGTGTGGAAGCTGCATGTATACTGACTGATCTATTCTGCAAGAGTTGATCTTCTCTGTCCACGAAAAATCACATAGCCATTAAGGCAATGCACGGAGATTTTGAAAAGATTTAT